TTTCATTTACACATACTATGTATTTCTTTTTAAAATAATTATGAATCTTAACATAATATTACTAAAATATATGGTAATTATTCAGCATTTTAACCGAATATTTGACCCAATACGAACAAAAAAAAAAAGCGCCGAACGTACCTAATACGAATATTCGACGCATCTCTAATTTGTATTAATAAATATGAAGCCGCCGCAAAAGAAAATAAATAGATAAAAATAACTATGTTGGGACATTAACACATAATACCATCTATCTATGTTCCATGGTAAGCTACCAGGATTGTGTTATGTATACTAGATAGTTGATACACATATATAGCCTAAAATACATACGTATTATAAATATAAACACCCATGACTGATGTATAAATATCCGTGCTCATCACAGAAATTAATCACCAGCGGAACTCGAACCCGCGACCACTGACACAGCAAATCGGGTCACTACAAACTAAGCCAAAAGTATCGTCGTAGGTAAAAAATAACACATAAAGCTGAAAAGTACTCAAAAGTCAAAAGTATCTAATAAAAGCTTGCAGAATTAATTTTAAGAGCTTAAACATATTATTAGGCAGGTACGATCTAAAACATTTGCATTAACATTATTTTTTGTTTCTAAATTTGATTACGACACGGAGTTAAAAAAAACTGTATCATATAAATATTTTAAATATAATTTACATGCAAAGCATGCAAAGTTACTTTTAAAAGCTTAATTGGAATAATAGGCATAGTTGATGATTACAAAGATCTTAAATGTTTTGTATTAAGGTTATTTTTTATTATAGCCATCTCAACTTAGTAAAAATAGTATTTATATTGGCATTTTTCTGTTACAAATTACAATAATACCTAGCTTCTTGAAAAACTTTGACAGACAATATAAATAAAATATATTTGAAACGGCAACATTTAAAACAATTTATTTTGGGTTATTCATTCTATGAAAAGCTGACAAAGAGTAAAAACTATCACTATTAAGCTTTAGTTCTACATTAGCAAGAACTGACTGAAATATGTATAGTGTAGGATATATACATCATCACAAAAATTGATTTTTACTTCTTGCCAAAATGTCATGCCGTGGGTGGAATACGAAACAGGCAATGGGAAGCTAAAGACCCTCATATTCAATCAGTTTACGAGTAATTCGCTTAGGGGTGATAAATCTGTGCTTAGTCGTGGGGATTGAGATTTAACTTTATTAAGAGTCATAGCGGCCTCCTTAATTTGATTATGAAGGTCAACAATCACTTAATTTTCTTTAATCGTAATTTCAATCACGTAGTATACAGCTTAATGTTTACTCATTTACATTGTAATGATATTTACTTGTCTTTATGAAGATAGACGTAATTTTATACTTTAGATTAGACTAGCTACTCACCTGCGCTTCGCTTGGTTTCCCTACTTACGTTTTAACGTTTAGTATCGATTTCTCAGAGATGAGACATTTAATCGCTGTAAAAAGTATCCTATATGTTGACCCGAATAACCAGCTATCATCATACCAAATTTCATAAAAATCCCTCCAGTGGTTTTTCAGACAGCCGACAGACAAAAATTCTAAAAACTATAGATTCGGCCTCTGTATCGATAATAATGTCTATTTCAATAAGATTTTTCAAAAAATATTTAATGTACAGATTCGTCTTAGTTACAATTTTATTATATGTATAGATAAGACATTATTAATAATGAAGCACAAAAATCACACTATGTATCTACATACATATGTATCTATTATGTAAATAGCCAAAGACAAAAGTGTTTAGTACCTTTTTCTCCTCTGTTTGTCAACCGTTTTTTTTTTGTTTAGTAGTATTGACGAGTTTTAGTCTTATCAATACATTTTTTTGGATATAATTTTTTTTTATATAGATAGGATTCTATTCATATCTTTTCCTCAAATTTTCAAATATGATTATATTCATATTTGAAAATTTGAGGAGGTTCAGTGGAACGAAAATTAGTATGTTTTAATATTTAAACTAACTACGTGCTATCTATCATTTTTATTACATAATATACTATTTCCTGTTGCCGTAGACTTCAGGAGTTTTATAATTTTTTTATAATTAAATAAATATAAAAAGAGGAGAAATGCTTATTAAGGTTTAATCTTCACTGGTAGTAGGCAAATGGCATAAAAACTTGCCATTCAAGTGACAAAGTTATCAATGACGGCGGGCGGCAGACCACCTTAGCGCGAGTCATTAATAAGCGAGATTAAGCTAGACCGACACGAGCGCCATAATGTAGTCTGCGGCTTGCAGATGAGGTTGGTTTCACTCAAGTTTTTCGAGCACGAGGTGATGCCCACCCGCGGAGGCATATCGTCCTCCCTCCTCCTCGCCCTCCTCTTATCACTCTTTATTTGTGGTTTCAATTCACTTTTTACACCAAACGTCCTCTTTGGAACCTCCTATAAATTACATCCAAACGTTGTAATCAACTTGCTGTGGAAGAAAATATATACTTTTCTAAAGCCATAAAGCTTAGTTTCAAGTAAACTTTGTGGCGGCTGTGTTGACATAGGCTATAACGAATCTCTTTATTATGTTTAGAGAATGAAAACTTGATTGTTGTTTAAATAAAAAACATGCTATTCGATTTTTAAATATGTCAATGTATCTAGCCTAAAATTAATCAATCAACCAAATAGGTGTAAAGTTTTTTTTTATGAGCTAAATGAGCTAATGTTTGAGTATTCATATAGGTATAGTGCGTAGCTACTTAATTTAAATAGTTGCCATTTAATTTTTTAATTTTAAGTAAAATATAGACAGACTAGCATTGCCCGCGGCTCCGCCCTCGTTCAGATGACCAAAAACCAAATTCTTAGGTTTTAATATTAGTATACTCCTACATTGCAGTTTTTGTATTTTTTCTCAGAAATGAGATATTTTCCCGCGGTAAAAAGTATCCTATATGTTGACCTGGATAACCAGCTATCATCATACCAAATTTCATCAAAATCCCTGCAGTGGTTTTTCCGTGATGCGGTAACAGACAGACAGACAAAAATTCTAAAAATTATAGATTCGGCCTCTGTATCGATAATAATGTCTATTTCAATGAGATTTTCCAAAAAATATTTAATGTACAGATTCAGCTTAGTTACAATTTTATTATATGTATAGATAAATATTAAATACTGAACGGTTAATAGGAGATTCAAGATACAAACTGCTTTTAAAGTTTACATAGAAAAAATTATATGGGTAATAAGATGATATCATCTTTATTGCTAAATGTTTTGTCTTTTTGTAAGTGAATTTAATTCATTGCTTTCGAAGAAGCTTTCAAGGATAAAAATATATTTTTATTGTTTAGTCATTTATTTTTTTTTAATTTAGATTCATTTGCAATATATTTTAAGATACTGGTAACTATTTTTTTTTAAATAGGTCGCTGATATAGAAAATATTCATATTTACGAAATCACAATTAATTATTATTATTATATTGTGAAGATAAAGCTTTTCAAAGCCGTCAAAAATAGTCATTAATATAATAATGTGCAAAAATTAACCGATTTTATCTGTACAAAAGCAATGATAACTTACCTACGTGTAAAGATTACATACACTAACATCCATTCAGGATTTTGTAATATTAAAAAGTAAAATCAAAATTAAAAAAAAATAAAAATACAAATATCCACGCGGAAAAATATTTAATAATTCAATTTTTATAAAATCATATCAGGCATTTTATTCGCACAATTCTGTACATATAACAAATATTAATTTACAGGTAATTTTATGCTAATCAATACCTACCATTTTATTACAGACCAAAGTGAGATTCATATTACTAGGTATTCACAGAACAAGTTCGTTTCCAGTCGTTGGACGTCGATTAAAACAGCTCTATTGATAATAGATATGTATAAACAGAAAAAATACTTTTGAAAAAATACTAAATAGAATATAAACAGAAAAAATACTTAACAAGACTCGTTTTTATTCCAAAAGGTCATTTGTACAAGCCAATAATTTATTCTCTATTTGACATTTTTCAACTATTATAATATAATTATCCACGTAAATGGAAAGACCGTGTAAGGAAAGATGATTGATTTTTTTTAAATTGTTGTTACATTGTTATTTATTATTACTTTCTTATTTTTTCGCATAGCTTAAACTGTAGGTATTTATGTATTTTTCAAGTTTCTAGTAATTAGTCAGGTGTATGTATACTTAAGTATATTTACATTTTCCATATTAAATTGCTTTGTAACAATATCTTAAGACATTTAATGCCGACATCTACATGTAGGTATCGATATGAGAAATAGAAAAATAGGTACATATTGGTAATAGAAAACTGATAAATCATTCATGATATTTCAATTTTTAGCTAGCTTATTAAATTTCTGGCCTCTGAAATAAAATATTACATTGCCGTGCCTTATTATAATGCATAATATATATCTTTTCATTTTTATGAACAAGTCAAAATAATGTTAAGAATAGGAAATTGCAAGTAGTTCTCAATAATACTGTATAATATTAAAAGGCTTGAAAAATACAACCAAATGCTAAGTAGGCTTAAATTATAAATAATATATATATATATATATATAATAGGTGTATATGTATGTATTTCACTTTATATAATGTGATCTGTTGAGGTAATTATTATAGATATTTTTACAATAAAAATAGTCAAATAAATTACAACTGCCTTTTTGGACTAAGAGTGCGATTCTACTTATTCTATTTTATTATATAATAGCTATTATGTTAATAGACAATATTTTATAATATCTATACTGTACACTTTCAAATTTCACCACAAATGCGTCATACATTATGTGGAGACAGTATCAACACTACCGAGTCTTTAATTACAAATTCACTTTAATATACATTGCTTGATATGTGCTATGTACAGACGAGGGCGGCGGCGGCGTCAGTCCCGTGCGGCCGGCAGTATCACAGGAGTGTAGGAGCGTGGTGCGGCACTGCTAGCGCCGCGCTCCCCCGTCACACCAGCGCACCTGGCTTCACGTCTAAGGGATGCTCTGGGGATCGTCCACCACCACCAGTCTCACCTTGACTATTCTCTTCTGAATCAGAACAAGATTCTGAGCTTCCTTTTTTGCCACCATTATGTGTTTTCACATGCTTTGCTAAATGGTCTGATCGCATAAAACGCTTGTTGCACACTGGACATGCAAATCTCTTTTCCCCAGTATGTGTCCTGAGGTGTCGTTGCAATTCATCGGATCGCGTAAATCTTTTTCCACAAAATAACCAGTTGCATACGAACGGTCTTTCACCGGTGTGCCAACGTAGGTGAGCTTTTAGGTGGGAAGTTTTGCCATAAACTTTGCCGCATCCAGGTATATGACAACTGTGTATATTTTTTTTTCTGAGATGAGCACCTGCAGGACCGAGTCGCTCCGCTTCTTGGCAATTCGGGCAGTCACATGTAGCGCGACCAGCATATCGCCTTTGAGATCTGGGCGATGGTGCTTGAGCCGGTGGTGCAGGTGAACCTGGCGTGTGCAGCCCAAATGATCCTTGCGTAGGCAGTACAGATTTGTAAGCGTCTTGTAACAAATGTGGTGCAGGTGGAAGTAAATGAGCTCCACCAGAAAGTGAATGTGTAAGTTGAGAGTAATCTTGACCAGCATAATTAGCCATTTGCCCTCCAACATCTAACCAACCACTATGTACGTCCCACCATGTACTACCAACAGCACCAACACCACTCATTTCTGCAGCTTTTAGCGCACCGCTGCTGCCACCTCCTCCAACATTAAATGGCCATGATTCATATGGATGTCTCGAGTACATTGATCCTAGACTGGCACTAGATTCACTCTTTCCCAGTAATTGATCACCTGACGATGGAAAATAAAGATCATTGCCGTACGAAGGGGCGGCGGCGCACGAGGTAGGAGCGCGTGCATACGGTGAACACGCTGAAGCCTGAGAACGTGGCGGCATACCCGCCCCTGTTGGAGAGTGTGCGCCAGGGCTCTTCTTCCACGGATGAAATCCTTTCCCAACGGCTGCATCGGCAAGTGGGGGCGGTGATTTACTCGAAAGCTTGTTGCACTGCGCTGCGAGCATCGCCAGAGGCGTGCCGCGGAGACTCGGGTGTTCCTGCAAGGACAGAAAATAAAAAAATTAATAATGTCGAATGAACAAGAAATCATTTTATGCAGGATTAATTAAGAATCTACATTGGAACCGTGAGAATCGACCGGACCTGATTTATAGTCTAATTTATATGAGAACTAATATAGTGGTGTTCGGATTGCGCCTGAGGCATCCAAAAACAATATAAATAAATTGTAGGAAGTTTATAGGTAGCGTATTTACAATTAGGCGCGCGGTGACAGCTCCCGACCGCTACCGCTCAACGCCGCAGGACGTCGTAATTAAAAAATGCATTTTGGTGATGATGAGCCTCTGGTGCCGAACTTATTATGGTAATACTAACATTATTAATATTTCTTATGTCTTTTCAAGCTTGATTAAAAGCTTTTGATATTTCAATAATAATGGGAAAAATAGTTTGATATAAATATCTATATCAACTAAATAAATCGCGTACAATCCTTTCGATGGTATTCATTTCGCATTCAATAAAACGAGAGAAGAAACATCCGACCGGATATTTCACCCTAATATGAAACAAAGGCTCGATAAAAAAGCTTCATTGTACGCAATAATATAATCCGGGGATCACGAGTCGTCGGGCCAGGGTGCGGTGCCACGCCCATGACATTGTGATTGGCGCAGCTGTCGCCGCAATGTGCGCGCGGCCTTACAACTGCTTTCGATCATATCCTAGTGTAAAGAAAGTACAATCATAAACTTGAAAGCTTATTTAGCAAAAATCTTATTTACCTATTACAATTAAGGACATTTTTTTCTTTAAGAGATTTTTTTGTTATAATATGTCTATGAACAGTAAATAAAGTTATAATATGGAGTGTCATATCAGGCACTATGAATTATTAAACTTTTCCATTATTATCTTAGAGATAGATTTTCATTTTAATTAACAGACAAAGCCGAAACTCGTTTGAGAGAGTTAGCTTAGAAAACAGTATCTACCTGACAGGTAAATAAGTAAGCAATAATTATAATATTACTAGCGGTTCACCCTCGCTTCGATCGGATTCGCCCCTGGGAAAACAAAAACAAAGCCATCCCACGGGAACCGTATATTTTTCCGGGATAACAAGCCTATGTGTTATTCCAGAATATAATCTATCTCTGTGATAAATTTCATCCAGATTCTGGTGTGAAAGAGTAACAAACATACATACCTACTCACAAACATTCACATTTATAATATTAGTATAGATTAACTTGATTTTTATTAATTGTATGATACTTATAATGTTATATATACGCAGCTTTATAACAAGCAGCTTTTGTTTGATCGTTGGCTAATTAATTTTATTTAAGTATATGTCTGTCCTGCATACTAAATAATTTCGTAGATACAAATCACTAAGATCGAATTTTTAAAAACATTTAACAAGTAAATTTAAATAACAACTCATAATGCAGTCATTAATTAATATATTTAGTTAGATTACACAATTTTTTCATTCTTTGAGTAAACTGAATTTTATTGACACAATATTTATAAGTTTTTATTGTAAAGGGAAAAGCTTTTTAAACTTTACATATAATGATCTAATATTAAGTATAGAATCGATGAGAGAGCCGTGAGGACTGGAGTCATAATTACCCTAGGCATTATGCTCCATTTGGGCGCCCAACGAATGATACAGGTAATTGGTCGTCAACTGACTCAGCTAACCACAGATTGGATCAAAGCGTATAGGCTGCGCCGACACACCGGCGCCATCACATCACAGTCTTGATGGCCTTTTCCTTGTCAAAAATGACGAAGATCATTGTCATAAAAAATATGAGCCGGAATAAAACAAAATCACCTTACGTGAGCACGAAATTGTAGTATCCAAACAGGTAATTCGGTTGAGAACGTAACACTTCACAGTTAACCAAATATTGGAAGATTATATATTTATTTCTTGGTAAATATTGTCATTATACTTATTTTGTAAGTATAGTTCGATATTTTTAAATCTGTAGGCAAATTATTGGACTATGTAATATTAAAAGTCCAATCACGTTGAATTTTTTTTATAATGGCTTATAGTTGCGTTAACAGACGCAATCCATTCTGCCAGTGTATCACGTTGAATTATAATTATTAGTATTTGACATTTTGCTTGTCATTAAAGAACATTATCTATCGACTGTTGTTCAATAAGAAAAATAACTAAAGCAAATTATGTAGTTTGAAAGGTAGCCGGATGTATTAAATAGGCCAATAAATCGAATTACTAAATTGCGGGCAGGCTTCGCTATTAACTAGAAACGGGAGTTATTAACTTAATCAATGCGCACTAAATACATCCTTTGCTGTTTGTGTACTTCTATAACCACGTAATAATAGTATAGTTGACCATAGCTGGGAACTGTAGGTATCTATAGCTAAAGAAATTGATTACTCATGTCTTATAGATTTCGTTTATATTATAACAGTTAATAAATTTTTTACGGGTATTCATTATTTTATTTTTAGTTAAAATGAATTTCAGTGATACTTTAAATGATACTGGATCGTTTTGAAGCCATTAACAAGAAAATGGAATTTAATTGAATTACTTTAAGTGAAACTTCGCATAGTAATTGTTCTTTATTGAAAAAAAAAACCCCAAAAGCGTTTTTTGTACAAAAATGTACCTATTTAAAAAGACGTTTAATATTATAGATCTATACTTTTATTATAACTTAATTAATGTGAGAAAACACTTAAAACAAAGGCACAGATACAGCTAACGTTCAGATTGGATGATTTTAAATTATCTACCAAAATTATGATGAGCCGAAATGAATATTCAGGCGAAACGCTTAGCTCGACGTGTTATTAAGACGATCATGAAGTCGTTATGAGGAAATTATATTTCATAAAATTCATAACCATACTTATGACCTAATATTTTTTCGACAACACGCCGTTAAAATAATGATCCTTATAATCGAAAAGAGAACTTCAATTTGTTATTTGATATAGAAGTTAATTGGAGAATTTTATTATTATTTATAGGCAAATAAAAAACGATTATTATCAGACATGTTTTTCAGTACCTACATTTTAAATATATATATATATATATATATATATATATATATATATATATAATAGTTTTTAAGTAAATTTTTAAGTACAGTTATTCATTGTTTTTAATTGTTATAACCTATTTAAAAATCTTAATATAAAAGAAAGATATATTCTGCAAATAAAATTAAATCAAAGTATTCAATCATTTTTCTCATTTTATAATAATTCAAACAAATAAACATAAAATCAACTACATACTATTTTGATGGTGACCCCTGCCTGTATCTACACGGGGAACAATTCAAGCCGGGTAGTATAATCCTCGATAATCTGTGAGCAAATTGCCGATGGCTAATTGCACTATTATATAATTATCCCGCTAATTCCGGGTGAAACTCTAAGCAGTACTACCTACGCTTTGTGCCACAATCTTATACTTACATACATATACATAATATATATCCTATTGTTGTTCTGATATAAGTTTTTTTTTAAATTTTTAATATGCAATGTAGATATCATGTGGTACCTATATGTAGGTAGATACTTAAAGGGTTTTGTTATACGAATAAAGACATTGATATCTTTAATGATAGCTTGTCTAGTTTAAAAAAAAAGGTTATTACACTCATAGCGTCATATTATATTAAATAATCGCTTAAGTAGATACATGTGAGTATGTGTGTATGTGAGTATATATATTTCAATTTAGATCTTTCTTAACATGTAAAAAATATATTTAGCTGTTATTATTTCTATAAACTAATTTTTATTTGTAATCCGTAACATTGTGAATCTTTATGGTACTTTTTTGATATTCTAAATTTTGTTTTGCCTTTACATGTACTATTTTTTAAATGTCGTTATCACCTATAATTAAGGTACTACTCTATATGTTTTATTTTCCATGTACCTATGTGTTAGTTTAATGTGTTTAGTTTGTACTTTGTTGGTGGTCTAATAAATAAATAAATAAATAAAATAAATAAATAACGGCCAGAAATTTTAAATTATCACTTAGGTACTCATATTTTATAAATCTTACACAGAAGGTATGAGATTAAAAATGTAGAGTTATAAACTGCTTTTCATTTGTAAATCAACACTGATATTTTTATTTTTAATATGATTGTATCATTTAAGTTATTGTCTCATACTTTTAAAAGCTTACAGAAACATAGTAAATCTAATATTAAGTAGAAAATCGAGATTGTTTCTAGTCGATGTTCTACGCTTTGCCCGCGGCGCAGTGTATCAGTGGCTTTTTATATATACTTGTAGTTGTAACTGCTAATGCAAATGAACTGTATTTACATTTTATGGCATATTCCGTGAATATGTTTTACGTGTAACGAACTAATATCTTTCGTTGTTAACTTTGGATGATTGTGGAAAAGTTCTTCAATTAACATTCCCGTTTTTAATAGTGTTATGGGCAGAAAGAGAATATTCTTAACAAATAATAATAAAAACTTTTTAACGAAAAATAAAAACCGACTTCCAGACACAAAAATGTAAAAAATCACTAAACGGAGGTTTTCATTTTGAATAGATACCTAATCAGATATTTTTGAAGTACTTTTTGAAGTGCCAGCCGATGCAAAGCAAATCTAATATATTTCGATACGTAAAATACATATTTACCTATTAGATATTCATAATATCTTAAAATATTGTAGGCTTAAAATAAGCAGGTAATTTGTAAGAAGAAAGTTTTTTAATAACATATTCGATTAAACAATTTATTTAAAAAAATATTTACTGTTGATTTTTTAAAAACCGCTCGAACGATTTCGATAAAATTTATATGGGACCACTTGGGAAGTATACCCTTTGAAACAAAAAAATTTTTCCAAATCGGTTCAGGCGTCTTCGAGTAATCGGTGAACATACATAAAAAAAAGAAAAAAAAGATTCCGACGAATTGAGAACCTCCTCCTTTTTGGAATTGGAAGTCGGTTAAAAATGAAAATTGACTGCAACTTCAAAT